GAATTTGTTCATTTCTGCATGAATTTTTTATTTACGGTCATTTGTATAAAGTGTCCTTTTACTCTGCCGTTTTCTGTTTCTAGCCAGGATAAAAAATAGGAGACTTGGGGATCGTTACGAAGTCTCCCGTAGAATTTAGGCACTTGCCACTCATAGTACTAACTCTGTTAAACGTTATTCCGGCTCGGACGTCGCCTGGGTTACCAAGGACCGCGCAGTCTATGGAGACCTGAGACATTCTGCAAACGGCGGCGGCCAGAACCTGCTCCATGTTTTCTGGCAGCTGAAGCTGTAGAAGCACGGCGAGGGCTCCCGAAGATCTACAGTGGAGTACCCGTTCCCAAGGAGGATGCAGACACCGCGATGCCGTTATGGCACATCATACAAGGCTCCACGGAAACGATACCGGCAGTAGAAGCTAATGGTGAGAAATTAGAACATATCCTCCCTCAGAGGTAAAGAATAGAATTGATTGATTATGCATCATATAACCATCTGGACACCATTGTACTCCTGTCAACGAAACGCCACCAAAACTCTGAATTTCTGATCCTCTTTAGATGGACGCTTCTCTACTCATAGTAAATTGTCCAGTGGCCATTTTTCGTTTGGTTTAAAATACACTACCAGAACAATTGTTACTCTGAATCTGTTGAACTAAAATATGTTGTGTTTTATGTCATTGTGATTCTCTACGCAAGGAAGAATCTCAGATTGATATTGCACATCATAAACTCCTTTCGCCTAGTATTTTAAATTCTAAATACCCTCTGCCAAATGCAACCGTGTACCAGAACCAAACTTGCTGCAGCTATAACTATATGCAGTAATCATAAAATCATAATACCTGAATATTTATATGGAAAAAGTCGACTGTAACGTCAGAAGGGTGCTTATCAAATTAGATTCTTCCTCCAAGTTAAAGTAACTGTGATTCTACCTCCGCGTGCAGGTTGATATTTACGCGAAATGGAACTGATTTCGACTCCTTTAGCATCAGACTTGAACGGAAACTCTGGCGAAAGATGGTCAGCTTACGTCAGTGACTTGAGAAGCATCTACTTTTGTTTGACGAAGATGGCGGTGCTGATTCGCTGGGTCCTATTTTCATCGCAGAGTTCAAATTGGATCACTCCGGTGTTCAGCGTCTTGCAAGAGTCAGAGTTTCTGGATTCTCTGGAATGTCTTCATGCTAGTTACTGCTATGTGGTCGCCGGAAACATTTTTTCTTCCCTTACGATTAGGTATGATGAT